CACTTTTTGTGGAATAATCCATAAAATCTATAAAAGGGGAGTAAAACGATCGTTAAAGAGACTGCGCGAAACAAGGACCCATTTATTTAACGCATTGTTCTGTGGCATTTTATCACTTCCAGCCCATTTGTGCACAAATTAGCTCGTGCCTTATCTGATATGTCTCTTATTTGAGGAAAGAGTAACAGCAAGAGCAGGCATGACAAGGGCATGTCCCCTGCGTTATGGCAGTCCCTGCTTATTTGAGGAAAGAGTAACAGCAAGAGCATGTCCCCTGCGTTATGGCACTCCCTCCAAGGCTTGCCCCTTGCCAGAGTGGCCCAGGATGGTCCCCTGCTAGAGGAATTTGTCCTCAGAGCCTGCCCATCAGCACTGCCACCCTGCACAACAGTGTCTCTGCCCTGGGGACACACATCCCAATTCCTGAAGGCCCACCAGCAGCTTGGATTTGCTGCCTCTGGGGAAAATGACCTCTCCTGGGCTTTTCCAGGAGACCCACAAGACATCTTCATGTTACACAAGCTTAAACAAAAAGCCAAGCAAAAGAAGTAAATTCTTTCCCCGGTCCCCAAGATTTGGACTAAAAGGAAGAATATAAGAAATAGCAAATTTTCTAAAGCAGAAGCTTTTTCCAGGGCAATGTAATAGAGGTGCCCTCGTTAGGCCATACGTACCGCAGTGGGAATGTAAATGAAGAGGGAGTAGCCATAGACACACACAATCTCCAGGAAGGAGTAGGAGACAATGTTCATAACTTTGCTGTTCCTCCACATCAGGAACCCCCAGAGAGCAAGGGGAACAAGCCAAGCGTAAGCATAAATCGTTGTTGCTGCTATGGACACTGGAAATATGACAAAAGGTTTTGCATTTTACTCTCAATACCAGCCAGAATCAACATGTAGGAGCATTTAGCCCAAAAACTAGAAAACTACCTTGGAAGTTACTTTCAAAATATAAAGTTTGAGTTATTAATAAACTGAGAATTTTGCATTTACATCCAGTTTACATCTACTACTTTGCCAGCACTTCAAGTTAAAAGTTTAAAGCCTGCAGAAAGTATTCTCTTGGTATTTTCCAACTTCTTTATTACACCTGTGTACAAGACGCTATTGGTTTCAGTGTGAAAGGAAGTGTCATGGAAGAAAGAAAAAAGTTAAAACCAGAAATTTAGCTACTGACAGCTACCAAAAAATGAGAATAGAATGCAAACACACTAAAAATTTCTAAGGGGAACACAGACACGAGTGCCAAATCTGAGATTATTCAAATGACTGGATTCCCAAGCGGCAGTGTTCTTCCAGGTACATTGTGGATTTTGGAAACAAGCAGAAGCCACGTTCCTCTGCAGGGACAGCAGTGTCCTTCAAACTACAAGGACAGGTACAGACAACTGGCTCCTCACTCCCAGTTCTCTGAGGTGCGTATCAGTTGAGCATCTTTTGCTTATTTTTGAGTTTGCCAGAATGTAACAACTCAGTAGGTGATACAAGTAATATTTTGTTATTACTTCTCTCTGAGGCCTGCAGGCTCCTCAGAAGCCATGGAGCCAGAAAGGCACCTACAAAAGCACCATGGTGGCCACTGCTGGGCTTTCCCTCTCTCTACAAGGGGGCATTCACTAAGGCTAGAAAAATAACTGCTCTAATTACTCCTGTCTCCTCTACCAAAACTCTGGAGGAGTGGGATTCTGCCAGTTACAGCCCACTCTAAGGGCTCGTTTCACATCTCTAAGAATTTAAAGAGAGCAATCAATCAACAGATTCTGCTAAATCAAAGCTGTGACCTGTTTTTAAGATTATGTCACTAGCACATAAAAAAAGTAAAACAAAACAAAAACCCCAACAAACGCATGACCGTACTGACTTTTTACAAACCTTTTCTGAACTCAGGCACATAGTGGTATGTTGGTTTGCCCAGATGGATGAAGAAATTCGAGAGATTGCCACTAACAGCAATGGTAAAGACGAGCGTGGCACATATCCAAAAGGGACCTTTAAAAAGAAACAAGCAAGTTCAGTAACAACTCCTCTGCCCTCTTGTTTTTTTTTTAAGGTTACTGAGTAAAAGGGAATACAAAAGTCAAAACATTTAGCACAGAAGAGAACTTCTCACACCTACCATAAAGGTCAGGATTGCTGCGGATATACAGCCTTACAAAGTTCTTCCCTGGTACGGGGAAAACTGAACCTTTGATTCTGTCCAGGACCTATAAAAATACACAGATGTGTCTGACTGAAGATGCAAACCAGACAAAAACTCAGCATCTGGATAAAGCATAACTCAGACAATAGTTCTCCTCTGGAGCGGAGTATTAACCTGGTAAGTGTCCACATCGAAGAACGTCTGGTAGTAATCAAACGTCCAGAAAGGGGCACTTTTCTTCTGTCCTGCAAGCAGCTGTACGGGCAGAAAAGGCAACATTGAAAACATTACAAGCATACAATTTATGTATTACTAGTTTATTTACACAATAGTTAAATGATTTCTGTACCCGGATGCAAAACAAACTGAACAGGATAGTGCTTACTATTTAACGGCTTCCCTTATCCCCCACAAATATTTGTTAGCAGCGGCTAGTCTTACCTCCCTGCAAGCAGAAAGGTGGCCTGGGGACCTAAAAAGCCGCCAGATATTACCTTCCACCACATCATTTATAACACGGGCCTCCATCGATATCACAAGTTCCCTCGACGTCGTTAACGGCTGCCTTAGTTGAGCCTTCAGACTGTTTGTACAGGTGCTGATGGAGGCACTGTAGGGGTAAGGGCATTACCTCTGTTTTATCAGAGTCGTCAGTCCCCAGTAATTCATCATCCTCTTCTCTCCCTGGCTCCTGCAGGCGGCCATGCTGATTCCTGGGGATTTCAGCTGGCTCGTCGATGCTTATTGTGGTAGCATCAGGATTTGCTGCAAGCAAATTAGCTGCATCGTCAAATTCTGCAAATAAGTACATTACATGAGAGGCAATGATCAAGCTACCGAAATTTGTGCTTTTGTGGCTCGAAAACCTGCATTAAGACCCTGACACAGCCCAAGAAAGGATGCATCACTAGTTTAGGCACGTGAAACACCATCTGTTTCTTAAACCCAAACTGACACAGATCAAGCTGAATGCTTACTTAATTAATAAAGCGTGGGGATGTCTTTCCTGCTAACCTGCCAGACTGAAGCCTGCTATCTGCCCCAGCCTGAGACCCTGCAGGTCTCTGTCAGGGTGGGGGGAAGGAAGCTGCCCTTCTGAAGCCACTGTAGAAATGGCCAATTTTCATCCTCTCCAAAAATTAGGGGTTTTTTTTCCGACCTGAATCTATTTATCAATAAATACACTTATACAAGTCTGAAACTCCAGCCCATCCTCTCCTGCCGCGAAGGGCTCCGTCCAGCAGAGCTGACACGGGCCGCACAGTCCTGCCCCCCAACACTGACGCTACCGGCGAAACCCCAAGGCAAGGTTTTCCTCGGAGAAGGCTCAGAAACACTCCCCGGCTCTGACCCCCCCACCAGCTGGGCCCCAAACCCCACCTTTACCTTGGAATTTGAGGTCATCCACCGCCGCCATCCCCCCGCCCTGAGGAAGGCCGGGCGGCAGCCCCGACCCTCTTCTCCCTTTCCCCGCTGCCGGCGACCCCGCTGAAGCCCCCACACCTCCGCCCGCCGCGGCCCAACCGCTCCCGGCCCCAGCCCTTAAAGGGGCAGCAGCCGCCGCGCAGCGACAGCCAATCAGCAGCTCCGCTGCTCTCCTCTCCTCCCCCGCCCCTCCGGCTCGAAAGAGACCTGCCGGAGACGCTCGTGGCGCCGGCCAATCAGAGGCCGCGCGGCGCTCCCTCTTCCGCCTCCGCCCTCCTCCTTAAAGAGCCCGCGGCGCCCCGAGCCCCGCAGGGCGGGTGTTAGAGGAGCGGGGCTCCGGCTGCGGTGTTTATATACATTTATACACACATATAGATTATACGTGTAGTTACATGCTCATATATCCTATTATACATCTATATTATCTATATTTAGATCATTATATCAAAATATAATAATAATTATATCATATAATGTATATTTTTCTATATTTTCTATATTTTATATATATAATATATAGGGCGTATATATATTATAATATATATATAGGGGTGTATATATATAATATATATACACATAGGGGGATATATATATATATATATGGGGTACCTCCTAGACCCCAGGGACAAGCAGCGGCCACCAGAGGAGGAGGCCGGGCTGTAGGACCAGGGCACCGTTGGCCCAGCCCATGCAAAACCCAAATGGTGACATCAATCCAAGTCCCCGGGTGTCACACTCAAGGGTCTGCCACCAAAATTCACCAGCTCCGAGCCCGGCGCACGCAGAACCGCCGGCAGGATCCGACCCCCGGGTACCGCCGGTGTCATTCGGCCTTTCAGCCTGGGGCTCTGGGGAAACATCCAGATTCAGCTCCTCTCACTGATAAAACACATGGTATAGAATCACAGAATGATACAGGGTTGGAAGGGACCTCTGGAGATCATCTAGTCCAACCCCCTGCCAAAGCAGGTCCACCAAGAGCAGGTTGCACAGGAACGTGTCCAGGCGGGTTTTGAATGTCTCCAGAGAAGGAGACTCCACCACCTGGGCAGCCTGTTCCAGGGCTCTGCCACCCTCAAAGTGAAGAAGTTCCTCCTCACGTTTAGGTGGAACTTCTTATGTTCAAGTTTGTGCCCATTTCCTCTTGTCCTGTCACTGGGCACCACTGAAAAAAGACCAGCCCCATCCTCTTGACACCCACCCTTTAAGTATTTTTATAGGTGTTGATCAGATCCCCCCTCAGTCTTCTCTTCTCCAGACTAAAAAGACACAAGTCCCTCCGTAATATAATATTATAATAAAATACATATATCATACATATAAAAATATATTAAGTATGTATACTTAATATATTATTATATTTTTAATTAATAATATATATAATCTATTATATTAATATTATAAAATATTCATATTTATGAATAAGCCCTATAACAGTGCAATTAGCACCAAAAATCTACCCATCACTGTAATTAAGGCCTTTGGTGCTGACACAGGCAGTGTGGCTGACCGGCTCCTCGCTCACGGAGACACGGAGATCCGTGGGGAGGTGACGGCGGGCAAAGGAGGGCAAAGTCAAAGCACAAACGTTTTTCCTCCCCCTCGCCCTTTGCCCCCCTGCCTTTACGGCCGCGTTCCCATGGGAAGCGACCTGACCTCCTCCTCCTCCGGCACCATGTCAGGACTCAGGATACTCCTCCAGAAAATCCTGATTTTTCTGCAGGTCACCACGTGCGTCGTCATCGGGAAAACCCTGATGATCCTGTTCCCCGGGGCCATGAAAAGATACATCCTCAAACAGGGCCAGAAGAGCAGGATGAACCAGAACCCGAAGTTCAGCTACGAAAACTGGGGGCCGACCTTCTTCAGCTTTAAGTATTTGCTCTTTGTGCTGAAGGTGAAGTGGAAGAGGCTGGAGGACGAAGCCTACGAGGGACACCCCGCTCCCAACACGCCGGTGGTGACTTCTAAGGGGGAGGTTCGTCGCCTCCTGGATTTCATGCGAGGTCAGTAAATGGGCCACGGTTGGTGGGTTTGGTTTGCTATGACCAGAGAGGAGGAGAAGAGGCTGCTGAGGGAGCAGAGACCGGCAGATGATCAGCATTCATGGACGGGAAAGGTGCAGCGCGTTCACTCCAGTTGCCTCTTGATCTTTTCAAAAATAACCCGTTTTATCATCCTGGCCACCATGGACCTGTTGGAACGGGTCCAGCAGAAGGCCACAAAGATGATCAGAGGGATAGAGCATGTCTCCTACGAAGACAAGCTGAGAGAGCTGGGATTAGTTCAGCCTGGAGAAGAGAAGGCTCCAGGGAGACCTCATAGCAGCCTTCCAATATCTGAAGGGAGCTACAGGAGAGCTGGAGAGGGACTCTTTGTCAGGGAGTGTAGTGACAGGACAAGGGGCAATGGTTTTAAATTAGAAGAGGGGAGATTTAGATTAGATATTGGGAAGAAATTCTTTAGTATGAGGGTGGTGAGGCACTGGAACAGGTTGCCCAGAGAAGCTGTGGCTGCCCCATCCCTGGAGGGGCTCAAGGCCAGGCTGGATGGGGCTTTGAGCAACCTGGTCTGGTGGGAGGTGTCCCTGCCCATGGCAGGGGGTTAGAACTCGATGATCTCTAAGGTCCCTTCCAACTCTAACCATTCTGTGATTATCCCATCACGCCAATAAGCTTAGAGAACCTCTCCAAAAGGCCAGCTCTGCCTGGAAATCCCTCTTTCACTGAAACCCCAGATAATAAGTTATTTTAGGGAGAGAAGGCCCAGAATGGGAGCCGCATGCGGTGATTCACGACTGTTGGCTGTCACTGCCTGTAGGTACAGAAAGTCCTACACCCGCGCCCCCGGTCAGGACAAAGCCTAGAAAGCACACAGTGGTTGTTTTTTTTCTCAGATTCAAAGTGGCTGGAAATAAGCAGAAGAAAAAGAAGCTGCTTTGTACTTTGTCCGCTGCCTCCCACGGAGATCTCTGTAGGACGTGGAATTAATCATTAAGCCGCAGCCCTGATTCCCACGGGAGGGATTACACCCTTCTCTAACTCTGCTTTTCTAATTTTCTAATCTTTCTATAGAAAATAGGATGCAAATCTGGAAAAAGAGATCTGGAAAAGCACTTCAACAAATTTCAGATAATCTAGCATAACCACAGACTAAAAGAAGTGCTTAAAAAAATCCTATAAGTCCTCTAAAATGGAAGCCTTGTGAACAGATGCTGACACCTGTGGGCACACACCCTGTTAATTTGTAAGCAGCTGCGTAAACGCTTTTGCCAGTGGCTCCTGTGACACCAGTTTAATAAATAATAATAAATAACTAGAGTTCTGTTTGGACAGGAAATCGCAGAAATCCACTGAAAGTATGAAAGCCTACGAGCCATGACTGAAAAGCACAGCTTTCACTCAGCTCAGCCAGAATGTCCTTCCTCCCAACACCCATTTAACCACAAACTGTCTCCTTTTTTGTTTCCTTCCAGATAACCGACCCTTAATCCTGAATTTTGGAAGTTGCACCTGACCTTCGTTTATGTTGAAATTTGATGAGTTCAACAAGCTCATCAAAGATTTCAACTCAATAGCAGATTTCCTTATCATCTACATCGAAGAAGCTCACGCATCAGGTACAGTACAAACATCACGGCAACACCCACCAAAGCCCTCATCATTCCCTTTAGGAAGAGAAGTATGTTAACGAAGGAGGGAAAGAAATCTCCCTCAACAGTGGCCACACCAAATCTCAGCACCAATTTGTGTCCCTAATTCCCCAAAGCTTTTACTCACGCATCTCTGAGAGGCTTTACTCTGAGGGGCTCTGGCTGAAGGCTCATCTCTTGTGAAGCAAAGCATGGAGTTCTACCTTTACAAAACTTCCTCTCAGTCTTAGTTCTGATATTAACAAGAAAAAAGAAAAAAGTCAAAAACATTTTAAAGAACAAAGGTTTAAGTATACGATGCCAGCATGTGTTATGTGTTTTTTTTTAAAAATAAATCATTTTAACACGTCTCAAGAACAGGAGGCAGACTCTTAATGTGAAAAATTTAGCAAACAAACTGTACACACTCTTTTATCTGCACTGGACTCATTAACACATCGGCACTGATTTATCCCAGGGCTAAGGTGGTTTGCTAAAACGTAGTATTTACAGTTTTCAAGTTTTCTAACACCACAACACTTTCAGTAGTTAAGAAAAAGATAGTACTCAGTCATCAGAAACTTTTACTAGTTTCTATTTCATTAAAAAGGGTTGCGCGCAAATGTGTACTTGCCCATTTCTGAAAAAGGAAGGTGTGCTGTGACTCAGAAATGTTTCATTCTCACAGACCTAAAACATTGTTTTACAGGCCCAATGAGCAGAATGAACAGTACGATTGTTGAAATTGTTCTAAATGAATGGGTATCCGCTGATAGCATCGCTTATCGTTTTAAAATTCCTTCCTCCATGCCAATAATTTTGGCAAATCTTACCTAAATAGGATATATCTCCCCTCCTGATATCTCTCTAGGGTTGATTTACATAGCAAAGTTTCAGCTAAAATACACCAAATATCTCTGAGTTCAGGGCAAGGGGAAAACAATTTGTCAAAATTAAAGGGAAAAAAAATATGATCTTGGCACCATTTATTTGAAAAGCTCTCGTGCTCTGAGGGGGAAATTTCATTTCATGGCAAGTTTTGGTGTTAGGAGTTAACTTGAAATACTATTTTAACAGAGTTTTGGGATATGGCATCGTGTATCTCCACCCTTGGCACCTATTCAGAGTGTCCTTTGCTAATTCCCTTTCTCGTTTGTTTCAGATGGATGGGCTTTCAAAAACAATATTGTTATTAAAAATCACAGAAGCCTTGAAGATCGAAAAATCGCAGCACAATTCCTTCAGAAAAATAATCCTTTATGTCCAGTGGTTTTAGACACTATGGAAAACCCCAGCAGTTCAAAATATGCTGCATTGCCAGAACGACTGTATGTACTTCAAAGAGGGAAGGTCATCTACAAGGTAAAAAATATCAACAATAATAATGAGCATGCTATATTGAGATTTTTAAATTTCAAAATAATTTGAGAATGCTTTAAAGTCGGTACTTCATTCTATTTCAGAACTAGTCATTTCACAATTCACTCTAACTCGAGAGGACTTGTAGCAAAACTAGTCTGGGCCTTTATAAAGTACATATTTGATGTATACCTCAGTCCTGCTCAAATATTTATCCTCTGGCTCATTAGGAAACCTAAGTACATCTAAGCTTTGAGATCCAGGAACGCTTTTCCAGCTCCAGGATCCAGAAGCTGGCCCTGCCCCAGTTACACAGGAGGGTGTAACCCGTGTGTGCACCATCTCCCACGTGATGGCTGCACATCTGCCCACAGTTCTGGTGCAACTGCTGCACACCAAGGGACCACTGCTCTGTCTCCTTGAGCATCACTCTCTAACTTTATTGCCTTTGCAGGGAGGAGTGGGGCCTTGGAATTATCACCCCCAGGAAATACGCGCCATCCTGGAAAAGATGACAAAGAGGAAGACTTCAGAATAAAGGCTAGCTGGATAAAAATGCTCAATGAGGAAGTTTTCATAGATGTAAGAACGAAGAAAAAAAGAATTTAAAAATGACAATAGAGACAACAAGGAAAAGAACCCGAAGACATTTGCGTTTGTCTAGAGGTTTTCAAGTCTCATTGCTACAGCCCCAACTACTGCACTGTAGGATCTTCCTACGCTTACACCACATGGAATAAGGAAGACCAGTTGGGTCCATTGAGCTGTTAGGATTTGTAAGGAATATCATGCAGGATAAAACCTCAGGGGTGGTGACATCTGCAAAAGTCAACTGGCAGAAGTGCAAAAGAACTGATTTCACGCAATTAAGATTCTCTTTCTCTTACATACATACAATTCTCCTAAATGTTCACTTTCACTGACTTCAGAAGGCTTCTGAGCAAGACAATCTCTATCAACATTTGTTTCTATTAATATTTGTTATGACAGTCATAGCATAAAGCACGGGCGGCTGTGACCTGATTGTAGAAAATATTTATAGAAACAAGGGATTGATTTGCAGTTATTAAAAACCTATCAGAGCACCTCATATGGCTTCGGATTGTTTCGTTCCCTGCCCGGCCCCTCTCCTCCCTGGGTTATTTCTAAGCATTAGCAGATTTTTATATTCATCCTATTAATCTTTAACAGTTTGAGTTGATAAGAAAGATACAAATTTAAGAACTTTTGAAGGACTTGTCTGACAGTAGGAAGTAGTAACTCCTACTTAAGTATTTCACTTTTTTTTTTTTCCTATTTTACTCAGAGCACAAGGGAAACATTTTACAGGAAACGGAGTTTTAATTCAAATATTAAGAAAGCCCGATATAAACATACTAATTTAAACAGACTCAGTCATGTTCAAGTGTTCTATGGTAACAGGCTAGGTTATAAAACAAGAAAGCTGTTATTACAATTAACAAGAGTACTGCATTGTGGTTGGACTCTATGATCTTAAAGGTCTTGTGCAAACTAAATGATTCTACTCTATTCCACACATTAAACCAGCAGGGAATACATGCTACATCCATACCTTCAAAAAAACACTTTAATACAAGATTTTATGTTTTAATAATAAATACTCTCTGCACTATAGGTATCAAAATGTAACTTCTTTACCAAAAAAAAATAATTGAGGTACAAATTTGAGGTGGGCTTAAGTGTTTTCTGCTGTGCCCTCTGCCATCACCCGGTGCACTGACACAAAATGATCAAAGGCAGATTTGATGATGAAGCGCAAGTAAGTGGCTTGGAAATCAGGGAGCTGTAGAAGGGAAAAAAGATGTTATTGCATTCTCTGTAATAACATAGCTATCAAACAACATTTGCAGAAGTTTGTTAGACTGAAGAACCTAGGTATTTCTGTGTCTGTTCTCGAATTGCACATAAATCAAACTCTTTTAGTACCTCTAGCCAGTTTCAGAGCTTCTTCAGATGACAGCAATTCAAAAAAGTCTCATTCCCCCCAAATAGTGCAGCCTTAAAGGCAACAACCGTGGGAGGAGAGACTGCCATGCTTCTAGAAAGAGCTCCTTCACAGAGCTAGGAGCAGCAGGCAGGGACAATTTCATACCATAATCTACAAAGGAGCAGTCACAAAGTGGAATTTCATACCATGATTTACAAATTCCCGTATCTAACATCAACTTAGCAATAATTGTAAATAAAGACACATTTTGGTTTTTCATGGTTTCTCCCTAGTTAGTCTAGACATCCCATTTTGTGAACCATTACTGATGTACACCATAAATACTCACTGGAAATTCTTCCATTTGAAGCTGTCCTTCTGTGTGTTGCAAATCTAGAAAATATATTTTAAAGGAAATAATGAAGAATAATGTGCAATAACGTGAAAGTTTTCAGTGGACTTCAGAGTTCAAGGGAGCGTAAGGACCATGAACTTACATTGGTTACAGAAACAGGTTGGGTTTTTTAACAAAGTGATTTAAGAGAACAGATACTTTTTGCAATATCCCAGTGTACAGATATCCCGCTTATTACACTGTTGTATAAAATTTCACCCAAGAGGCATTAGGAAAAAAAAAAACACAAAACAAACCAACCAAAAAAAACCCCACAAACCCCCCCAAACAATGCAGGAAATGGCACTCTGTTATACTATGTAAGTCTGTTTTTAATTTTTGGAACATAAAAGCAAGTACACAAGTAGTGCTTTTAGCCCTTTACAGCATTTTACATCTCCAAACTGCTACAGAGACCAGCAGCATTCATAAACTTCATTCAAATGCGACTATTACACATTAATATCTTAATAAAATAATGATCAAGCCACACTTGACTACTCAACAGACAGACAGGGGGTTAAAATGACTCACTGAAAAATGTCAACATCATTCCCACAAAATCCCCGCTGCTTTAGATTCAGAATCTTACCTTTTTCAACACATTGTTCAAAACCTACTGGATCTTTAGATACACTTCTTTCAATCCTTAAGGTCCGCACTAAAATAAAGACGTTTAAAATATCAATATGAATTCTGGTTCTTTACTAATAACGATATTTATTGCATCACTTTTCATCTACAAAGCACTTTAAAAGCATTAACGAACTAATTCGTTCTTCCTCTGACTTATGGGGCAAGACTGCAATGCAACCCACATCCTTATGTTCCAGGTTGGACAAACAATGACAAGTTTTCACGTCTTTTGCGCAGCCTCTGCTCATGGTCCAGCTGCTGTCTCCATGCTCTGACCTCGTAACAGTCTGTCCTGGTTTAGAACTCACATTCTTCACATTATTAAAAAGTAAAGCTTCACTTTTTAAAAAGTAAAGCTAACAGATTTCTGTCCTACGAAACTATTAAAATAAATATTCAAAATAAATCATTGAAAGGCTAAGTATTGTAGTCCTGTCCATTCAATTGGAATAGCCAACACTGTGCACCAGAATGGTTAATTATAAGCTAAATACAAGGTGTTATAAGGACAAATTAAGTGCAGGGGGAGTAGATTTTCCATCTTTTTTCTGGCTTACGAAAAACTTTGGATGTGGAGGGCAATTGCTTCGTTAAGCTAAATGAAGCTTTATGAATTAAATTGAGCTTTAGAAGTGACTACTTATAGAATCTGACACCACTGTGAGAATTTACATATAGGCACAGACGCATGTTTTAACATAGTTACGTGTTACACACTGCAATACAAAAAGTCTTACCCAAGTAACACTGGATTGCGACTTTGCTGATTTTTACGCATTTAGGAAAACCAATAATGAATTCCTGTGGGAACATCCCTGTCGTCGTCCAAAACGTTTGTGAACTTCTGTGGAGAAAACAGGACAAAAAACCCACCTGCAGTCTTCCCTTTATTACCACCTTTACAGAAATTTTTCACAAAAAACAAGACTGGAAAGCCATTTTTTTGTTTGTTTGTTTTTTTTTAAGGAAACCACTATATCGCGACAGGGAAACGCTTTGGAGGTATTAATACATCAATGTGCTTGGTACCCGAGCGGCACCTCAGGACGACTCATGGGGGTGGGGGTCCCCAAAAAAAAAAAAAAAAAAAAAAAAAAAAAAGAAGAGTTAAATTATGTGTTAATCCGAGTGGGAAGGTAAAGGACCGAGCCTGGCGGCGCGGTACCGGCAGCACCGAGAGGGATCTCCGGGAGAGCAGCCGCCCCTGAGGCGCCGCTTCCCGCCGGGCCCCGCTCTCCCCTCACGGCCCCTCAGCGCCCCCCTCACCCGTCCGCCATGTTCTCGGCGGGGTGCTGCTCGTCGCTGGAGGTGGCCAAGACGACAGCGGCCCCCGCCGAGCTCAGGCACCAGTCTACGGCCCTCATATCCCCGGGCGGCGGCGGGGAAGGGAAGGCCGGGACTGCCGCTACCAAGCAACGGCGGCGGCGGCCCCCGCTCCGCCCCCCAGAAGCTGCGCGGTGCTCCGCGGTGTCCTGCGGGACCCGCCACCTCAGAGAGCCCCTCAGAACCCCCCCGCTGCCGCAGCTCCCGGGGGTCTCCCGCCCCTTTGCCGCCGGTGGGGCTCGGCGAGCGGGAAGCTCGCCCTACATAGGGACCGGGGAGACGTGACCAGCCGCTCCCCGCCCCTCAGCCCCCCGCTCCCGGCATGCCCCGC